TCTACTGATGGCGATGTATCTTGATTTATAGCTATCTCTATCTGTCTTTTACTACTGACAACAATCAAGGATCGCTGAAGAACTTCAGCGATCTTCTCAGCTAATATTATCTACTCCTCCTAGACGTTCATCCAACCCTCTCGCGCTTTGACGTACTTCAACGCACTTCGTCCAACTTCCCCGAGCCCTCGGCCATCCTCTTCCTCCTTCGACTAACTCCGCCTAACATCGCCGCACTTCTGCTCCCATTGTCCCTACTTAGCCTAACCCCGCCTAACATCGCCGCACTTCTGCTCCCATTGTCCCTACTTAGCCTAACTCCGTCTAACTTCGCCGTACTTTGTCCCTACTTAGCCTAACTCCGTCTAACTTCGCCGTACTTGGTGTCAGAAGTCCTGAGTTACGTGTAGAGTAAAGAGGTTAAGGCGTGATGGGGTTTTGATGGCCAAAGGAGGGTCATTGTTGGTGGAGTAATCGAGGTGTCACGACGTAGTTCGTGACAGCAGCAGTGGTGGATGGATAGGTAAAGGTAAAGAGAAACTAGGTTTGAGGAAACATGACTCACTATGGTCGGTACGATTTGGCAGAGCGATGTCTGCCGCGATGATCGTGATATCGACACCGAAGGCGACTTCACCACTTGAATCTGAGCATCAGCGACTCGGACATATAGGTGTAGATAAACTAAAGAGTCTAGGTAGACAGGGACTATTGAAGAAGGACTGGGACACTTACAAGAACGATCCCTTTACAACCGATAAATGTCCCGCCTGTATGCAGGCCAAGATAACACGTCTACCGAAGAATAAAGAAGCACCAATGTTAAAAGGAGATGGTGAAGGAGTAGGAATGGATGTCGATATTGCTGGCCCGTTCGGTCCGGCGATAAAAGGTGAACGATATTTCTTCGTTGGTGTAGAAAGGGCGAGTCGAATTGTGTTCGCCGTACCGATAACGACGAAGAACGAATCGTCAGATATCGTTCGACAGTGTATCTCGAAATTAGAGAAACAGCTTGGTGAAAGGGTGAGGGTGATTAGGTCTGATGGGGGAGGTGAATTCGATAGCCTCGATATGAGGGAATTCTACCTATCAGCAGGGATCAACCACTACATCACACCAAGATACACACCAGAATTAAATGGAGTGGCGGAAAGAATGATACGTACCTTGAAGGGGATGGTATCAACGATGTTATTCGACTCAGGACTACCGAACGAATATTGGTCCTATGCTGTCAGATACGCCGCCATTATAATTATGAAAACCTCGATTGGTGTCAGTGGTAAATCAGGCTGGACATCACTCACAGGAAGAGACACGAACTTAGATAGCGTGTGGAGATTTGGTGAACGATGTTTTGTTCAGATACCAAGGGAGATAAGGCTGAAGTCGAACTTCACGATACCTAGGGGTTCATCAGCCATTATACTAGGTCAAGATGAGGGTGTGAGCGGTTGGATCGTTAGAATGGACGGATCGGGACGAATCGAACACTCACGAGACGTTCGTCGCTCGACAGGACGAATGGTGGCTACTAGAGAGTCGCCAGATGTCATCCAAACCCCTCTTGACGCCATCGAAGTGGACCTAGACCCCGTCGTCAACGAAGAAATTTTCCCTGACGACCGCTCAGAAAGTGGCGAACAGGAAAATATCGATAATGAACAAGGAAATGATGTCGATAGAGACAACTCACCTAATACAGGCCCACAACCTACTGAAAGACGACGAGGACAGGGCATTTGGGGAGGAAATTGGATCTATGAGAACGATATCGTCGAAAATGAGAGAAATGATGAGGAAGGAAGAAATGATGGGGATGAGGGGATCCTGACGACACGTCACGGACGAATTATTCGACCCCCCCACCGTTTTGCAGGCCTAACAGACTCGTTCCTAGACTTTGGTCGCGAGCCTAATAAGTTAGTCTCACTCGCCTCTATCGCAGGTATCGAAAGTGATACTTCTCTCATTGATCCTATCTCTCCTGAAGAAGCAGTAAACGGCCCAGATGGTGAGAAGTGGCTGGAATCCATGGAGAAAGAGATATCTAACATCGAATCTAAAGAAACATGGGTGGAAACGGTGTTACCACCGGGCCGTAAAGCCATTGGATGTAAATGGGTATTCAAAGTGAAGACAGATTCAGAAGGAAACTTACTAAAGTATAAATCCAGACTAGTAGCTCAAGGATTCTCACAGGTACCAGGTGTCGACTACGAAGAGACATTCGCACCTGTCGGTAGATCGGGGTCGTTACGAATACTCTTGACTATAGCGGCCACCGAAGATCTCGAAATTCGTCAGGCCGATGTCGAAGGGGCGTATTTAAACGGTAAACTCGATGTAGAAATTTACATGAAGTATCCCAAGGGGATAAAGCCGAAGCCTGGATGTAATACCTTGAAGTTAGTTAAGTCTCTTTACGGTTTAAAGCAATCTGGCAGGACATGGTGGATAGAACTCGGCGAAGGATTATCTCACCTAGGTTTTTCAAGAATCGAATCAGATTGGGGTCTTTACTACAGACCAGAAGAGAAAATCGAAGGAAAGGGAGCAGCAATACTGCTAGCCTATGTCGATGATCTGGTATTAGCCACGAAGTCGAAGGAAGAAGCGAAGGAAATTTTCGATGGGCTAGGTAAAAGGTGGATAATAACCGACCTGGGGGAGATAAGTACTATCTTAGGTATGAAGGTAACAAGGAACAGAGAAGAAAAGACAATATGGTTAAACCAACCAGCATATATCGATAAGATAGTTCAGAAGTTTCCAGAAAACGACTTACATCGAGACCGAAAAACGCCATTACCCCTTACTGCGAAAAATCCATCGATGTCGGAGGCGGAGAGTGAAATTCGACCATTTCAAGAATTAATAGGATGTCTACAGTGGTTAGCCACATGTACTCGACCCGACATATCATATGCCGCCTCATACCTTGCTAGGTACCTCACTAAACCGACGAAGAAAGTATGGGAAGAAGGGATAATGGTAATTACCTACCTTCGGTCCACTCGTTTACATGGTATTCGTCTCGGTGGCGAGGCTAGTGATCTAGCAGGATGGGTTGATGCCGATTGGGCAGGTTGTAAAGACACACGACGATCAACTACAGGTTGGATATTCATGATGAACAACTCACCGATAACCTGGAGTTCAAAAAGACAAGCTACAGTATCGTCGTCGACAGTCGAAGCAGAATACATCGCGATGGCTGAAGCAGCGAAGGAAGCTCAGTGGTTGAGAGGATTATTGAGGGAGATAGGCTACGATCAACTAAATCCTACTACATTAAACTGCGATAACCAAGGATCGATATCACTAGCGAGGAAACCTGGTACTCACCAGAGGACAAAGCATATTGATATTGAACTAGAATACGTTAGCACTGTCTCTCAGAGGGCAGACGTACTCACGAAGGCTTTAGGTGGACCAGTACATTCGGTGAATATGTCAGCGATACGGGTAGAACCACCGAAGAAGAAAAACATTGGTTCAGTATACGTGACATTAGATGATGATGAAATCATCGATTACGATTATTCAGATTTCGAGGATCTAGGAGATCTATCAGGTGGTACAGAGAACGAAGTGGTACCAGAGAACGAAGTGGTACCACAGACAGAGTCGGTACCAGAGAGAGAAGTGTGGGTGGAAGGAACTTCAGAGAAACCCACCGAAGGTACCACCGAAGGAAAAGTTCTCGTGAGCCAAAATGTAAAATTTTCAGGTGTACCTAAGAATGTGAGTAATTCTAAGATAGGTCAGAAGCCACCGGTAGAACCTAGAGTCATTAGAGAGTTAAGAGAGAAAAATAAGGAAAAGAAAGAAAAGATAAAAGATAGAAAAGATGGGAGGATACATGACACTAATTGTCATCGATCTGGTATCCCAACAAATTCTCCACATGCTGACAGGCCCTTTCGAGATCGTAAAGAATGTCGAAGAAAGGTGCAGATGCACCTTGACCAGCGTTCGAGAGAGAGACAAGCAACCTTCGGAGGAAACGGATCTGTCGACAGGTCGCCTCCAAGGTACGGACCGAGATATCCGACAGTTCAGCTGGTCAGAGATAATTTTCATGATAAAGTGACTAATGAGCGTACCATGAGCCTCACCAGGCCTCAGGAGAGGAACCAAGGGATCGATACCATCGGGAAGTGGCGAAGACATAATGAAATTGTTAATGAAAATAAAAGTTTCTCGGTGGGTAGCGGTTCTACGAAATATCGTCAGCCAGGACCACGAAGGAAATTCATCGATTCTCGGGAGTCTACTAGCAAACCTGAAGTTTTAAGAAGTAGACAGGATAGAGGGAAGCTCAGACAGTCAGAAACGAGTGATAAAAGTGGAGAAAGACGAAAGGTGGACATACCGATAATTGGAGATAAAAGTGATGAAGTAAAAGGAATGATAGAGAAGAGTCAGTCGTCAGTAGTGAGTGGTAACCACGTGTCAGAGCGGAGCCCCGCAGGGGGCCCCACCGAAATTCATTTCACGATTTCACCTACCACTACTACCACACACATAACACTCAATATCTCATCGTTATTACCTTCTACATCATCACAAACCTCGCCGTCGCCATCGATAAATCGTCCGGGACTACTGCAAAGTCGTGCATTGTCCCGTGGGGGAGTGTTAGCCGATAGAATCGGGCCAGGACGGCCGAACCGCCGTTAGAATTACCCCTTCCGTCGAATATTTCTCCGTTCAACTTATCCTCTGAACTCTATTCGATCGTCTCTGGTTTTATGCGCGTGAGTGGAATGTGATAAGTATAGAGACATGTAGAATTGATGCATGCCCTTTTTCCCCTCTGTATTATCATCTAATATTAGCAAACAGTCCATGGCCCCAAGTATCATGGTATATTTACAGTAAGAACATGCATTGACATGATAATTCATTCTGACAAATGATCCAATACAATACAAAACGTCGGTACCTACATGACATCGACTTCTGCAGGTTTCACGCACCTTCCCACCCCACTACCTCTGCGTACCAGGTCCTTGAGGTCTCTGTCTCCTCAAAAAACTACTAGGCATCGGTAAACTCATCCTTCTACTCTGTACCGTCCTCCTTATACTCGAAGCGACTTCTCTTTCTTCTCCATTACCCACAGGTAAACCCATCGGTAATCCCCTGGGATAACCTCCATTGGCCGAGACGAGTGACGTAGTGCTCGATCCTGCGTTTTGAGGAAGAGGAGAGAATACGACACTTTCCGTGATTGAAGCTGTTTCTTCTCTTTCTCGAGAGGGTGATCTGCTATTTGATGCTACTCTTGGACCGGGGGGAAGAGGGATTTCTTGAGATGGACGAGTAGATTCTTCAACTACTGTGGTTTGGGTATGATACGGAATTCGAGTGGAAGAATTGCTGTCGGTCTGTGAAGATATAGGAGGTTGATGGAGGGAGAAATTTGATCGGAGAGGAGATGGAGCAGGACGGTCAATCATAACTTCTACAAATGTCAGTGAACGTGATGATAGAGGATGAGGACTTACGCATTCTGATTGTATTGACTATAGCTTGTAACCTGCCAATTTCTTCTAGTACACGGAGGGTTTCCGTCATGGTACGACTTATCATCAACCCCAATCCATTTCGGGATTGTTCACGGAGAGAGACCGGGGGGGAGAGGGGTGACACTTACACTTCATTCCTCCTTTCCATAGTATCCATACCAGCAGCTAGATGTCCGACAACACTTCGAAGTGCTTCCGTGATATCAGGCACATTCCTGAGTTCCGACAGACGGTTGAAGGCGAAATCAGCATAAGATTGATGAGATCCGAAACTAGGGGTGAACAATTCTCGTGAGCCGCGTGATGCTCGTAGATCGGCAGCGGCACGAGGTGTGATGTTGGAGTTGCCAACATTGGCGAGATCATTGATGCTGGTGACTCGATGTGGTATTACTCGTCGGGGAACGGGGACGGCGAGGTTGACGATACCTGTAGCAGCGTCGCTTTCGCTTGCAGAAGAAAGTGATGAAGTGGAGGATGAACGGGAAGTATCTGTGCTTTCAGGAGCAACGGCCGCAGGCCTGTCTCGAGCCTCCGGGACGAGTTCTGACGGAGGGTTGGAGAGTTCCGCAGCTAGCCTGTCGCGTCTGTCGGCCCAATCTCGAGGACTGTAGATCCCAGCTCTGGGGATGGATGCACCTAAGCCATTTCTGTTCCTAGCCTCCCGTTCACGCAAAACAGCAATCTCGCGTCTTAGAGCACCGACATCTTCGTCCATTGACCGAAACTTGTTTTCGAGGAACGTCATACGAGCGTCGTGAGCTAAGAAGAATTCGGAGAGACGTTCGTAAGGACATGTTTCGAGATGCTCAGCAAGTGTAGAGCGGGTGAGGACGGAGGCACATCCTCTGGCGTTGTGGGTGCAGGGAACAGGAGCGAGGGGACAAATCCAAGCGTGTAGGTGAGGGTTTGGGCCGACTGATGGTCAGTCGAGTTGAAAGCACAGCCAAACTGTGTGAGTTTCGTGACTGCATTCCAGCTTGACCTTGTCAACTGTAGCTGACGTATCTCAAACGTAGCGACGTGTCTGGAGAAAGAGAGTGATGTTTTTGAGTGTGAAAAGGACTCACGAGACTCTTGACACAACTCGCACACCTTTTCAGAGACATCGACATGCTCCGAATGTGCCTGCCGATTAGCAAGTTTTCTCGAATAGTAATCCTCAACGTACATTGCGACTTTTGAAAGTCAATAACACCCCGCACCGCTTACATTCCATTTGTCTCTGAAAACATTCGTAAGCTCTATGATGGGATAATCTGTGTCTAGCCATCTGCTTGTCAGCTTTGTCAACTCGGTTCAGAGATCATAAGCTCGGCATCGCCTATCTCCTTAGGTGTCACAAAGCGTCACGACAAATAGTTATTACATACCCAGCCGTAGACGATATCCGCGAGAAGAGAAGAATAGAGAGACTCACCGATAGTCCACAATCATCACCTTGACAAGTGACCAAAGTTTTCTGACAAGTTTTGACATGAGCCAATAATAATCCCCGTTGCATGACTTTTCCACAATCGTCTGCCGCACATCGAACCTTGAGTTCGTCCAGCATCTATACGTCAGCTTTTGTTGGTCCTTCGACAGCTTGACATGAACTTTTTCCCGAAACTCTACATCAAATGTGAAGAAAAATCAGGGAATAGGGGAGAGTCATCAAGAGTTCGGTGAGAGCCATGATTAGATGCGAGAAGAAAGAAAGGAGAAAGAAACACTGCTCACCAGCTTGACAAGCTGTTCCGTATCTCTTAAACTGGCCGTGGTCAAAGCACTCCTATCTATTGGACATTGAGGTTTCTCGGCCAAAGCACGAGTAATACAATCCCTACAGAAAGTATGCTTACAAGATGCCGTGGTAACGGGGTCGACTAAGGCTGATTGACATATTGCACACATCTTAGTAATATCAGCAAAAATCTCTTTTGTATATTCTTCCATACTCCAAATCCTCTCGTTTTGACACCTGTCTTACAAATCTCGTTGACAACTCTGACGTTTGAATTTGGAATCACAAGCGTCCATGATATGTGATGAGTCTTCTTCAAGATGAAGTCCTTTGATAGTAGAGAGCCAAAAGATTAACGCGATAGATATTGAAGAGGAAGGTGCAGAGGGTAAGGAAAAGGCGTATAATCGGTGGTTCAAAGAAAGATGGAAAAGTGAATGTCATATGGGTTTGGTAACGATCAGGAAAGAGGAAGGGTTGGGGAGGAAGTGATATACTGACAAGATTAGGATCAAGAGTTTCTATATAATCATATACCACCTCTGGTTGATATTTGTAATTTTGTCCATGTACATGTGTATGGGTATGTCCATGTCCGTGGTGGTGAACATGAGTAAGGTTCGATTCTGTCATTTCGTATATTGTAGTTTTCGACGCTGTCGAAAATTCAATATCACTTATCCGACGTTTGAGTGAAGAGGATGAAATGAGTGAAGAGTGAGATAGACAATAGATGTATGCTCGGCGCTTAGGGAAGAGGGGAAAAGGTAAAGGTGGAAGGAACGGACAGAGGGACAGACGTGGAAAGGAAGGAAGGAAAAGCGGAATGTCTTCCTTCGAGGGCTGATCGGTTTCTCTCCTTGATCTCTCGCTTTGATGTGCTGATGGTGTTGATGTGTTGATGTTGCTGGATAGCTACTCTGCTTGCTGTTGGCTGCTGGGATTTACTGTCTTTGGACGAAAGTGAGGAAGAAGTATGCGAAGGAATTTGTAGGTACTCGGCGGTTATATAAGTTGTGTTGTAAAACTATGTCGTGCTGGTGTGACTGTCAAACTGCCACTTTGGGAAATACAACCACAATCTGAAACTTGAAACGGCGAATATCAAATATGAAACTTGATCATGAGAGAATAAATTCGCTCAACTGCTGTGTATCTTGTGTATCAATCAGATCGAATTTCTTATAACAACTTTCAATCAAGAGCATATGCATACGAATTGGTATAACATCTAAACATTCCCACAAACGGGTAAACAAATCATCATATTCCAACCACATTTACGTCATCCATCTTCCACCTTGTTTCCTTCCATGCATGACCTGTCGAATCCTGTCGCTATCCCTGTAAAGGTTCCGTAGCTTGGGTATAATCAGGAGGTAACATTTCCCCTTCTTCATCCAACATTACAGGTCCTGCGTCTGTTTCTCTCCCAAACACCGTCATCCGAGCTCTTCTTTGTTCCCCATTAGAATGATGTGACCAAGATGAATCATTTTCGTTCGTGGGAGAATTCGGCTCGTTCGAAGTTTCCGATGAACTAACGGGTGAGATAAGTCTTGGTCTTTGGGTCGTAAAACTGATACTTGTCGACGCTTTGATTTCTGCTATTAATCTAGGTAAAGGGTTTGTGCGGCTTATATGGGTGGAAGTTTGAACTGGAGATAAAGTCGTTTGAGAGGGACAAGTCATCGTCGTGGGTGAATATGATGGATACGTCATAGATTGAGAGGTCGTAGAAGAAACATGTGACGTCGAAGGGTATGAGATATTCGGTGGCGCGCGAGAGTTGGTAGTCGGACGATGAGTGATAGCCAAAGTATCACTGAACGGATCTGGACCTGACGGATTCATCGCCATCGAGGGAGAGGTGATCCTGTCCGATGGAAAGTGTGAAGAATCTGTCGACCCTGGTGGTGGTCCTACACGAGACAAATACGGTGCAATCGTATTGGCTCCGGCTAAAGATGACTGTGAGAATTGATGTTCCGCCAACTGATACGGCTGCTGCGCCATGGAAGAAGTTGTGGTTGAGTCTGGAACGAGGGTATCAAAGTCATGTCTGGGAGGTTGATCTCCTCGTCCGTCGTTCTGTTCCGTTCCCGATTCCACCAGATCGATGGGACCTCGGGTTTTAGAGCGCTTTCTAAGACGAAGTAGGTACCAAACCAAGACAGCAATCAATGTCAGTCCAACGACTGTTCCTGCTGCTCCGCCCACAACGATCGCAAGTGGGGATGTGGAGTGATGAGATGTTTCGGCGAGGGATGAAGTGGATTCTGAAGGGATGGATGAGGAGATGGTCGAAGTGAGGATTGACGAAGGGTAAAAGGAGTCCATTTGAAGGGTTGTAGAGTTGACGACTGCATAATCGACATCGAAATCTTTCGTAGATCCATTACCATGGTTGGTCATGATTATGGTATGTATCCCTTGGTCCAATCCGTTGACAGTGTACACTAGAGTAAAATCAGATATTACATTTCTTTCAATGTCAGAAGAACTCACGAGGTATTTTAGTGAGTAATTCGAACCAATTACCATTGTACATCTCTTCTGTTCCTCCGTCCAAACTAAAGTTGTCAGTTCGGGGAGCGGGACTAACAGAAGCTTACCTGACGGAATATCGCCCGTGATCATGATTCAATCCTCCAAATATCTGACATGAAGTCCCATTGAAACTACTAATCAATCATGTGACGAATGAAGGTAAAAATTACCTACGTGAAAGACATAGTGCTACCCGCAATGTTGGTGAGATGGTTTGTGTGGTCAAAATAGTCGTGGGGAAAGTTTGTCAACGATCTCCAGTCTGTGTCTGACCAAAGAAAATGGGCATCTTGGTCATCGTATATGGATGTGAAAGTGGGGTCATCACTGGATATCAGCTGATAATCTTCCGTGAAATTCCAAAATCTAGCCATGGGTTACAAAAGGAATAGTAGAACAAACCTGCCAGTGTCAATGACAATGTAGTCGAGGTCGAACCACAATGTGTCGTTGGACAAGCTGGCATCGCTAGGGAGGTTCGTGAGTATCTGTAGGATCAGCAAGTGCAAAGAGTAAAATTGTGGGAACGTCCATATCTCCTCTGAGCTACTAAAACTAAATAGACGAGCTCACCAAAGTATGTTCAACCGAAGTGTTCAGACCATCCGCATAATACACAGTAGTTTGTGATACCCTCTCATCCGTCTCTCCCGAAATAACCTCCGAGGTATTCCCATCCAATTGTACAGAGTAATTCCCATGATTCTGACCAAAAGATCCATAAACACTTATAGAGCTCCCATTGAAGGTTATAGATGCTGTGGCGTTCTGTAAATGAGTCAATTGTCAAATCATCATATGACGAACCTACCTCGGTATATGTAGCATGAAAAGTTTGATCAAAATAGTTGATATAGTTTACATCTGGGAAAGCACCTTCGTATCAGTATACATATCACTACCATTCCCACCATACGGTGGACAAACTACCATACGAGATGAGGAGATGATAAGAGGATACAGGACAAGGAGAGATGTAAAGGAGAAAGTGGAAAGGGAGGATAATAGTTGAGAAAAGACTTACCAGTCTTATGATTCGTCACCCATGTTCCTGGTGTATTAGGAGCGTATGAAATCTGAGGAGAAGCGTCGTCAATCTATTAATATCAATTCTATCCCTATTTGTATTCTCCTTTTCTTAAGGTCCTTTCGACCATTTAAGAGCATCAAGAATAGAAGGTGAACAGATATCAAGGATGGAAGAGAGAAATGGTTGAAGAATCTGAACATACAGTGATGAGCATTGTCTATATGATCCACTTTGATCGAAGTGGCTTCAGTTCACTACTTTCAAAATCTACTCGAAAATGATGGAATTGGTACTCTACCGTATCGCTACCTTGTGCTTGTGACGCGATATCGGATCAAGTATTGACCCTGTAGTATTATAGTATTACCAAGAGACTCGGGTCAAGGGTCAATCCTATTCCTAAGTTCCTAGGCTGTGATATGAGTCTGTAGTATCGAACCCAACCTCTTCTCACTGAATATAAGATATTCGATCGAACCAGATACGTCTCAGTGGCGAGATAGAAGCGAAAACATGAGAAAGGAAAAAAAGTCGATCAGTATACTAAAGTTTATAAGGACAGAAAGGAAAGATAGATGCAAGAAATCATACAAGCTTACAATCTCGATATAAAAGTTACATACAAAGGTTATCTTCTCTCGAGGTTTTGAAGACGATTAATACATTCATATTCCCCATTGGAACTGGTGAAGAGGTCTTTGATCAGAGATCTCTTCCCTGGCGGGGAATCGGGTAACAAGGATTTGGAATTTTGAGATGGTACGATGAGAAGCAGTAAGCTTTGCATCGAGGGTTTCCCGCTTTCTTCTGGGTTCCTTTTCATACTTGGGAATCTATCGTGGTTCGAATGGGTGAAAGTTGAGTACGAGAGGCAAGTAGGGAGTATTGAGTTGGAACTGATATTTGAATACATAATCTTTCACTCTGTGTGGTGGTTGTATGGAGTGAATTTCTCTGTTCCTTGTGATCTTCGAGCATTCTGGGGCCCCGGTGAAAAGTTCGTGCCTACTACGTGCTACATGCTACACTACGAGTACAGTGTAACTTCGCATGCGATACAGACATCCTTGCAATCGACCATTTCCAAAGCATGAAAATACCGCAATATCATATGCCATCATCCACGGCTGGAAAGGACGTACACATTACCCAAAAGAGTATGACCCAAGGGTGTGACATTACTTCATTTGATATCATTGACGTGGCCTTTCAAAACGGGTAACTTTACACCTGACCATTTATGCATGTCACGCCCGACTCTGTATGTTGTAAGGTATGATCGGAAAAGCGAAAGATACAGTACTCTACTCGTACTCCACTCGTACCCCGACTTAACGTCTAATCTTCGGTTTCTTATCACCAGCTTGAACAGATCCCTTATTTCCAACTGATAAAACCATATGTGCTTCTCCTGTCTTTTGTTGTCGTCTGGCAAAAGCATCTGTCATACCTAATGGAGTATCCGAAGCTGACATTTTTACTTGATTTTGTTCTTCGTTTATTTTCTTCAAACGTTTTTGTGTTTTCATCCGACCTGATGTTTTACCACTGTTTTGGTCAGTCATCGTTCACCTATCATGACTCAAGTACGCTTCCTCTTCCTCCTCTCCTCCCATTGAGAGTACCGGAAGGTAGTTGACACCAAATAACAAATGTAAATTGCCAAAGGCGTAATAGATCAGGACTCTCTGGGGGATACAAAGATGATGCGACATGGAAGATGGAGAAAAGTCGAAAAGTGAGGATTATCAGGTGGAAAGGGAGTAAAAAAAAACCTGTACTCACTGGAATTTATGTGATAAACTCTTCCAAGCTTCCTTAGGAGTCATCTGTCTTCCAAACTCATCATGATAAACAAGATTGATATCAGGTTTATAACTTTTATACAATTCTAAAGTTTCTCTAGCTTCTTGTTGTTCTCTAACCCTATTCTCCCACTCTCTTTGAGCTTGATCTTTATTACCTCCTCTAGCTTGTACCTTTGCCAGCTCTCTTTCAGCCATACGTCGACGATAATCTGCCAACCAAAGATCTTTTTGTTTTTGTACCTTTTCCCTCTCTTGATCTTCCGCAGTGAGAGATTTTATAGTTCCTTGTTGTTTCAAAACATTGAGAACACCAGCGAGACCTTGTCCTAAAGGTTTAACTTCTTCTTCCTCTTGTTCCACTTTGATTTCGTTCATTTCTTGCATTTGACGATCGATTTTCAAACGATATTCTTCAACGGATAAACCTTCTCTTGCTGCCATCTCCGCCAGTGCCTCATCTTCATCTTCAGATTCCATATCTTCATCTTGGCCCATATCCTGAGGACGTTCGACTTTGAGTACCACCGTTTCCTGGGGCTGAGAAGGCGGAGTGGTTGCTCGTTCACGTTTGACGATAGAGGCTAGGGATTCTGCATTGACGTTCCGAACAAATTCAGACGTATCGTCAAATGTTATACGACCGTCTTCGTCGCCGTTGATAGGTTGTATTTCTTCGTCATCAAGGGTTCGTGAAGCGACTGAAAAGTCAGCTGGATCAACCTCTGAGTCCCCTGGTAGCTTACTTTGAGCGGCGATATCTTCCGGTTTTCTTCTTGGCTTCTTCTTCGCCTGCTCTCGACGAGCGCGCGAGAGGGCGGCTTGGAGATCATCATCATCGACCAAATTTTGAGGAACATCATCCACCACTCTTCTCGATAATGTTGGTTGACCATCCACTTCCATCCCGTCTGCATCTTCTTCGTCCTCTGCTCGTCGAGCGGATCTTTTGACCTTCTTCTTCTGTTCCATCAGTCAACGTTCACTGAAGCGAGGTGAAAAATTACCTTTGGCTTTTTAAAGCTTGACTCGCCTTCTTTGACATAATCCGACCCTTCGAAATCCTCTACAAACATTAGCTTATCCTGGCAACGCCACCCTGACTCACTGGTAAAGTCCAAATTCAACTTCAACTTCACATCTGGTGCTCTACCAACCACTTCGACGTCCATGACTTCCTCTTTCGCTTCTTGCAGAGGTACACCGAGTCTGAACCCCTGACTATCAGTTTATCCTCCCTGTCGATATCACACAAACTCACCTCCGTTCGTAAAGCTCCTGACTCAAAATCTTCATCGTATTTACCTAAGATATCCGCTTTACGACCTATCCTCCCTTCATCGAATTCTTCATCATCCAGACCCGTGTATGCCGCTTGGGCTTTTCGCTTTCTTTCTTTGGCGGCTTTAAGCTTGGCTTCATCCATCAGATTTACATTTTGTAATTCGTCTTCTTCTCCAGCCAGCACCCGGGAGTCTTTGAGAGTGAGAATGATATCTTGTCCTTCTTCGAATTCGTCCGCAGCGTGGCTGACCTTAAGGCCTGCTAGGTCGCCTGGGAAGTCAGCATTTCATGTTATACCATCACCACCACCACCACCACCACCACCACCACCACCACCACGATCTTCCTGCACCATTGCCTTTCCGAGCACGGGAAATCAAGTCAGGGGTGTCGAAAGGTAAGGAAAGTGCGGTCTA